AATCGTGTATAAGAGAGAAAATAAAATAATCCATTTCTCTTTGAATATATCCATTTCTCTTTATACATAGAGAAATGGATGAACCATTTCTCCTGGTATTTTAAGCATTTCTGCTGGAAAAAATCCATATCTGCTAGGAAATTGTGTATAAGAGAGAAAATAAAATAATCCATTTCTCTTTGAATAAATCCATTTCTCTTTATAAAGAGAGAAATGGATGAACCATTTCTCCTGGTAATTTAACCATTTCTGCTGGAAAAAATCCATATTTGCTAGAAAATCCTATATAAGAGAGAAAATAAAATAATCGATTTCTCTTTGAATAAATGCCATTTCTCTTTATAAATAGAGAAATGGATCAAAATTAATTGTCCAGTTCTCTACACTTTATTTGCATTTCTCCTTATAACTGGAGATATGGATGAAGGATTTCCTCTTAAAAAGTAGCCGTTTCTTATGGTATATAGTGAAGTATTGATTTGTATTGAAGGGGAATTCGATGTTGAAAGAAGAATTTCTGCTTAACTTTTTGAGGTTAAACCATTTCTCCTAGAAGTGGAACGATTTCTCTATGAAGTGGGGAAATGGTCCACCCCTCTCATTCATAGCTGTTTGATGAATTAATCCGTGAACAGAACGTATCAAAATTAAATGATCTGTTTAAAAATCTGTAGGAAACTATCTTGTATGATGAATATATATTCATAATATATTATTGTGTAGCATGGAATCGATTATTTATTTCAAAATATCAAGTTATTGGGCCAACTTCAGTTGTTCCTAATAAGTCAATATTGGTTGCTGAATCAATTGTTGATGATAATGATGTATTAAGTGAAATCATAAGTAACATTCAAACTTTTATTGGTAATATTTTACGAGATGAAAATATATGCCATTTACCTTGACATGAATGTTCATAATCTTTGTTGTTATTTTCACAAGACAAATCTCTGTATTTTAGTGTACTTTTACTTTATGAGATGGAGATAAAGACATTTTCGTCATTAATAGAGACAAGTAAATATTTCCTTATTTTTCTATCATGAACATGAGATTTTATTTATTTTTCACAGATCAAAAAAAGAATCATATTCAAAGAAAGCATGAAAACCTATTCTTACAAAAACACACAACAAATATTGAAACTTAGGACAGAAATGATTTTACTCATAACACGAAGCTAGAGTTCATGGAGTTGTACAATGTCTTCTTCATTAAGTATTTTATTAATAATAATTTTCTTATCTTTGATATTTTAAGCAAATAAATAAAACCTTCTTTTTATTATATAAAGAGCCTCGCTCTTACAAGGACACGCTTCAACACAGTCAGTTGTGTAAGTTGTTCTTTGGCTTAAAAAGAGGTCAATCATCACTTATAGTCTCAAAGAATTTTGTTACATTCGTTTTCACTCTCCACTTCATCAAGTTTTAAGTTCTACATTTCATTTCCTGGCTAACGTAATCTTCAACTAGCGATGAGAGAACGGTACAATTTTCACACAAATGGTCAGATGAAGTAACTTGCTTGACTTTCTTTTTGATATTTCTGATACTGATCTAGGCTATTCGATCGATATGACCACGAGAGAGATGAAACCGTTCACCTGGTCAAAGATTTAGAATGATTTATTTGATCTAATTTTGAGCTTCATGACGTGTGACAGGATCTTATTTTACGATTATTGTGTCATATCATCCCATCTGAATGATGTGGTGTGAGAGTTGTTTCGAACTAATTAGAAGCTCTGGAGATGATTTGCTTTGAGAGTTTCGGCATGGAAAGCCTATGCATTATTTTTGATCATATTACACATGTCTCATCGGATTCAGTTGAGACTAGAAACCTTTACATATCCTTGTTGGCTGTCATGCGCAGCAGTTAATGCATTCATAGTGGAAGGGACAAAGCATCCTCAAGAAACTCGTCACTAGCCGAAAAGAACTCGTGCGCATTTGTTTTAAATAGGTTTTCACGAAGGAAAATGACAATAGGCCTTTCTTTCTGTCGAAAATCGAATCAAAACGATCGAAAAGGAAAGAGAGAAAACGGCAACAATTTTCAAACCGAACAGCACAAACTCTTTTCTTGTTGTATTGATATTTGTTTTACCCGTGATGGTTCTTTATCTCATTGCTTGTTCGAAAAATGCGCCTTTGACAATGCTTCTATGTTGTCCTTCTACTTTCTATTGATAGCAGCACTGCTTATCATAGACTCTTCAGTCTGTTTATCAAGCTGCTCGAAGCTAGACTACATCATGTAGTTTTCCAAGAGTGAAACAGAGTTTTAAACAGTTCCTTTTGATGTCCTCATTTTTGTCTATCACAGCTGAGAGTGGAGCCAAATGTAAGATGATTTTCAAAGGATGATATTTCTTATTTATTTTTTCTAACTACAGTACAAACAATCAAAAGTCATGTACAAAGTTGAGATCAAGCAGAATTAAGAACAAAGTTCGAAGATATCAGGATTGCTGTTCAGATCATCAATGGGAAGCTAGTTGATGTATTCTACCCGAAGCACTTGAGCTGGTGTGGCTGTCGGTGGGTGTGCATGTGAAGCGAATTAACACCCCCACCAACACCCCCACACCCATCACTCACACTCACACACCCACACCCACCCACAACCACAACCACAACCACAATGAATGATAAATGAACTTGTTGTTTTTTTTGTTCTAATGAAACATTTTTTCAATGCATTATTTCGAAGAAATTGACAAGGATCAAATTGAATCGAAACAAGCAAGATTACTTAATTCAGTTAGACTTATGGCCGTTTGTTCAACAATTTTTCCATTATCGATATTGAATACAAAAAAATAATTTTTTTTGTCATCTGTTGTACCCCATAATGTAACCCATAGACGTTTTTCTGCATCGAGTGCATAGTTTGTTGACCAAAAATATTTCTCAAATGGAATTTCACTTTTACCAATACGATCAAATTCAAGTTCACCTTTTGCTTTCATGATGACTTCAACTAAATACCAGACGCCATCGTTTAATCCACCTGGATAAATTATAGCAATGAGTCGATCTTTAGCAGAATCATAGTCAAGACCATAGATCGAATAATCTCCAGGCATTTGACTATGTACATCTAATTTTCCGGTATCAATATTGATACCATAAAGTGTCGAATCTATCACATTATAATACAATCGACGTTTCGGTGCAAAAGCCATAATCACACTAAATGAACCAGTTGGATATATTCCAATAGTTTTCATAAGACCTGTTGTTTGATTGATTTTAGCTACTTCTAAACCTAACGGAGACTTGAAACTTTCTCTGACACCATAAATGTTACCATTCTCATTCGTCACTCCAATATGATAAAACCCTGCATAATCATTTTTTTCGATCAATGATAAATTAAGTTTGATTGTCTTTGTTTCCACATCAATCATTATTAGGAAAAAATAAGGTATAGCTTTACTATCAAAAGTATTATATGTACTAAGGTATGTACGATTATCTATTTTTGCGGTTGCTGCTGGACTCTGAAATACTGAACCACCTAAATCTAACACATTATGATAAAACGATGCATTATAGAATTCGATAAATTTTGTATCGAGGGTTGTTTGATCTATTCCAAAAAGTCGACATGAAAAGCTCGAAACAAACGAAATTATCGATAATAATATAACAATTCTATATGTCATGGACTTGAAGAAACCTTCACTCATCTTAAATTCAGAATATAGACATTTTCAGTTAGTAGAAGTGTGAGTCTCTCACTGGTTTATAAAACAAATAGTAGATATCAAGCAGCAAACACAACAGATATGCTTTTACATGACATTGCAAATATAGAATGACAAAGCATGAAGGGGTGACGGACATTTCGCACCAAGTCATTCCGAACTTCGAACATGTGTCCGGGTGTTCGGAAATGACTTTTTGCCATAACAAATATTTGACGGGAGTTCGTAATCCTTTTTAAACACGAGATCGTAATCGAAACACAAGTAAATTGGAAAGGCGTTACTGGGAATTCGAAATGGAATGATCATTACTATATGCGGAGTAATGTTTAAGAATCGAGATGAAAAAGACGGGATGTTCGTGATACAATTTACCAGGAGATCGGAACTGATTTATTCTGATATTTGTAACGGTCATAAAGACTTTTCTTTCTTTTTTTCTTTATAAAATGAATGATTCATACAAACCTTCGTAATTATATAAACAATATCTACCTTTCTCTATCTCTATACATAACGCTACAATAACTGTATAAGATGTTTGTGACTTTTGTGCTTGAATCTATTCATAATGTTGATAATTGATAGCACTAATCTCTGGGGAAATGAAGTACTATATAATTAAAAGTCTCTACGTTCAAAAATGATTGGCTAGACGAGTGAGGATGCGAGGGTATGAGGGTGACGTCTTCTATTTACTAATCCTCACTCTCACATCCTCATCCGTCGTTTGTGTACTATCATAGAATAAAAACTAATGTCGGCGCCAGAAATAGATGGAGAAAACTCTAGAACAAATATCTCGAGAACAGCAGTAACTAGAGATCTGCGATTTTCACTCTTGGAAAGAGCGATGTCGAAGGCATCGATCAACATAAAATTCATTAGATTCAGAGATTTTTGTCATGGATAATTTTGGATTGGCATTTTGTTCGCTGCCCTTTTTCATTATTTTTTAGAGGAATTTCAACCGAAACTATACCAAAATGTAGTCCAAGACACCATATATTCCTATAAAAATTATTACGTTCTTTAGAAGCCTCATCGAAGAAAAACGTTGAAACGAAAATAAAAAATTTCGAAAATTTTAGCCTGAACACGGAGTGTTTGGGCTACATTTCGACATAATTTGGGTTAAAATTCCTCCGAAAAAAAAATGAAAAATGGCAGCGAACAAAATGCCAATCCAAAATGATCCATGAAAAAACTCTCTGAATCTAATGAATTTTATGTTGATCGATGCCTCCGACATTGCTCTTTTCAATGGTGAAAACTGCAGGTCTCTAGTTGCTGCTGTTCTTGAGATATTCGTTCTACAGTTTTCTCCATCTATTTCTGGCGCCGACATTAGTAAATTATTTAACACATCTTTAAAAAAATAGCAAACATGAACACATTTTCGAATATCCTGTTTTTATTGTTACGATCCCCATCATTTTCATGCCAAACTCCGGTCAAATTTCACGATTTTTTTCTCTAAAAATCAATATTCGTTGTTCGTTACGATCTTCTGAACAACTTTCATTACGAACACCTGTTCTTTTTTTATTTTTGATTGATTTTTATCATTCCGAACTCCCGTCCACTTAATTCCGAACATCCTGTATTTTTTCTTAGGTTCGGAGATCGTAACGAACATATGCTACTGAAGATTGTAATGAAAAGTTGGTGCGAAATGTACCTTTCCCGCATGAAGTGACTGTCGTTATCATACAAGTCATTCTTGTGAGAATCACTTATGTTGTTTCGAAATTTTTTATTTTTATTACAGCAACAATATTAGTTTAAACGCTTGAATAACACAAGCACTTCGCATGTATAATGATTTTCACTGGAATTCTGGCCACCAGATTTTCGTTGAGGCATATTCCAACTGCCATCGCCTGTTGAATCATCCATACCCGAACTTGATACACCATGACCTGTATCGTTACCACGAACTTCAGATATTCCTGTAATTCCAAAATATTAAGAAAAAGAAATAATTAATGGCATTCCAGAAATAGGGTAAAAAGCTTTATGTACCAGCATGATCACCAGAGCCATTTCCTGATTTCATATTCGTTCGAGTATTATCCGTCATAATATCTGGACCACCACCATGGCCTCCGTAAATACCTCGTTCTTTTGTTGCATCGTCACTTGATTCAGAAGAAGACATCGTTTATTTTTATGATATAGTCACAATAATTGAAAGACATTATTTTGTTATGCATTTCTTTATATATCCAATTCAGGCACGTGTTTGGGCCAAAGAGGACGAATAGAAACATGTCTCTTGCAGACATTAATCATAGACATTCTGAATCGATATTCACAATTGAACATACTAAAGATGTCTCATTATTAGTATTAAAATATCGTTTGTTCAAAAACTATTTATAATCTTCAAGTGACCGCTGGAAATTGCGGATTTAAGGACGTGTGATTGAACAATTGATTAAATACCATCCATTGATTTTTCAGAGAATAAATTGATTTCCTTTTATCTATACTTTATTAAAGAAAAGGGAAGTATGAATGAAAAAAAAAGAATACAAAAGAAAATTTTCATTCTATTTGTATTTTTCTATTGTATATGTTGATAATGACCTACGCACTCCTCGATTCGAACATACCTTTATTTCAGTAAATAGTAAACACAGCAAGACTCTTATACATTTCCAGAGATGTCAATAGAAAACATCATATGTAAAACTCATTAATCCGTAACAGTATGATCTTTCTCTTCCGCGGAGAACGCGTAGATAAAAGAAAATATACCATTAAAACTGAGAAAAAAAATCCTCTCTGGATTCGGTGTATTCTCGGTCATGATGATGTTGAACGAC